AAAATCGCCCCCCTAAACGTACGGTACTGGCCACACTTGACTTATCTAAGGCTTTCGACATGGTGTGTCATCGCTCACTTGTGGAACTCGTTCATGACACTCCCCTCCCAAGAAGTCTAGTCCGCTGGCTAAGTTATTACCTTAATGGTCGACAGGCTGCCACCTCATTCCGTGAACACACATCCCCCCATCGAATAATCCACTGTGGCGTACCCCAAGGTTCTGTTTTATCACCCACACTCTTCAATTTTTATGTCCATGATGCACCGCCACCTCCCGATAATGTAAACCTTGTTTCGTATGCAGACGATTTCCACCCCTTCGCAAGCAGTTCCAATATTGATATCGCCTCAAACTCCATCAATAGCTACCTAAAAAGGCTCTACGATTTTTTCACCTCACGCAAACTAAGTTTCGCGTCCTCTAAAGGATCAGTTACACTTTTCTCCTCTTATAACAAAGAATTTAATAAAACACCTAGTGTTCTTTTAAATAACGAGGCGCTACCCCTAAACAAAAATCCAACAATCTTAGGGGTGACATTTGATCCAACACTTTGTTTTGCCACTCACTGCAAACAATCCGCTGAAAAGGCCAGACGCAGGATCGGAATCCTGAAGGCATTAGCAGGATCAACCTGGGGTCACTCCAAAGAAACCCTCCTCCTAACTTTTAAAGCTTTAATTCGCCCCATACTTGACTATGCAGCCCCCGCATGGTCCCACGCATCAAGTAACACCTCCATAAATTGCCTGCAGGTTGCCCAAAACCAATCCCTTCGCGTTGCTACTGGATCAAAACTAATGAGTTCCACTGCCCACCTGCACAGTGAATCTGAAATCCTAACGGTCAAAGACAACCATACCCTTCTGTCATCTCAATTTTTTATCTCTACCTATCGTTCCCACCATCCCATTAATTTTATACATTCACATCCCCCTCCTCCCCGTCTACTTCGCCCCTCAATTATAAGCTGCTTCAAAGAAGACACCCAGAAAATTTTAACCGACTTTTCAGTCTACGCAAACCACCCTCTAGTTCTGGACGACCGAGACGAAGTCTCCACTTTTATTTTTAACTACTACAAACCAATTTTAAAAGACAACCATACCTCCCTTGTAACCAAATTCCTAGCCGAAACCCCTCCGTCTAAAGTTATTTGTATCCCTCCCCCAAAGATTGACCCCTCTGAAAAATCTCTCCCACGTCCCACGCGCTGTAAGCTCTCCCAACTCCGGTCTGGCTACAGCCGGCTCCTTAACACTTACCTATCCCGCCTCGACAGCTCCATCTCCCACCTTTGCCCAACCTGTTCCCTTGCCCCCCACACAACATGTCACCTTTTCAACTGCTCCCAAAACCCCTCCCCACTCACCCCAGCAGACCTGTGGCTTCGGCCGGTAGAGGTTGCTAAGTTCCTTGACCTGGAGACAGAAGAGCCCAACCCGACCCGCGTGGGCTAACAACAACAACAACAAAAAAAACATAAAATTTTTTTATGTTTGCCTGGAATGCGATTGAATTTGAGGAAAAATTATTAGAAACACAACTGTCAGTGTTAAAAATCATCAAAAGGATACAGAGCAGAAAATACCTGGATAGACGGCTGTTGAGCCGAGCATATGAAAAAAATGTGCCTTTCTTCATAAAAGCGCAACAAAATGATTAACTATGGAGATAGATAAAAAAGAACACTAGAGCCAACGAAATCAACTATTATCGAGAAGAGAAGTGAAGCCGATAGCCCAGCACGACTTCTGATAAAAAAATGTATTCTATGTAAAAGACTGAAATAATTTGTTCTGACATTCCAAAATTTTAAAACAAAAAAATCGAGACTAACCACAATCAATCTATTCTGTATTGCACTTTGAAGCCACGAAAAGCTCATTTGACAAACTCAAAACAAAATGAAATTATTTAAGACTAAAAAAGAAGGTTCGTACTAACACTAACGCTTGCAAGCTGGCTAATGTAGTGACTGAATCTACAGGAAATCAAGGTATACTAAAAACACTGCGAGTATTTGCCATACACTTGTTAACAAAAAAAAAGTGACCAGTAAAACACTAGAACTTTTAAAGACTAATAATGACCGAACGCTCACTTTGATAGAAACCAGTAGGTAACCTTGCCAATAGAATTTGAAGCAACAATATCAAGACAAAAAATTTCACCACACTCATTGACATTAAATTTCGACATATAAGGTTAACAAAAAAATTGATAAACAACAAAAATTATACTTCGCGTTCAAAAATTTTTCAGACATTCGTCTTAAAAAGCCATCCGTGTGCAAGTTGAAACTTTTTTTACAAATAAAACAAAATCAAATGGAAAAAAAATTGCAAAAATAAAGCGGAACTTCACACCACTTGCATTACAACAATATGGCCAACAGACAGTTGGAAAAGAGTTAATGAACAGAAGTAAACAAAACAATACTGGCTTGAGTTTTGAAAAAAATACTTTCGAATTTCGCAGAAAAAAAAACAGATGGCCTTGAAGTTCTTCAAATTTCAGGAAAAAACTTATGATTGACACTTTTGATAAAATTAACACTATTTGAGAAAACTGGATCAATAGATAAATTTTGCTGGGAAATCTAATAATTAAAATCCATTTTCGAAATTAAAAGTAAATCAAACTTTTTGTGACCTTTTACACTTTTGCTGTTCGATATTGGAGTTTACCTTCCTTTTAAACAAAGGAAGTGAACGTGAACTTGAAAATAAATCAAGCGTCAAACCACGAAAAAATTAATTTGAGCCTGAACAAAGTTTAAAACTGTCCATAAAAAAAAGCATTACTACCTATATAAGTGTCTGAACTACGTTCATCGACTCTAAAAAACAGCACGGCAACTAAACCAAAAAACGAATATTGACTCCAAAAAAAAACATTTTTTTTATGTTTGTCTGGAATGCGATTGAATTTGAGGAAAAATTCTGAGAAACACAACTGTCAGTGTTAAAATTCATCAAGCGGATACAATCAGAAATTACTTGAGCCGAACATATGAAAAAACGTGCTTTTCTTCATCAAAGCGCAATAAAATGAATAACTATGGAGATAGATAAAAAAAAATAACAGAGTCACTGGAGCCAATAGAACCAACTATTATTCAGAAGAGAAGTGAAGCCGAGAGCCTAGCACTACTTGTGATAAAAAATGTATTCTATTCAAGCGATTTGAAAAATGTGTTCTTACATTCCAAAATTTTTCTAAGCTTTCGAGAATAACCACAATCAATCTATGCTGCATCACACTTTGAAACCACGAAAAGCTCATTTGACAAGCTCAAAACACAATGAAATCATGTAAGACTGAAGTAAATTAAAAATTTTTCTCTTACCTTTTTAATAACCAAATCATCATTTCAGATTGTCAAAGACATAAGGGTGCATTATTGGTTTCTAAAGATTCAGAGTATAACAAAAAGTCTAAGAAACAGAAACCCAAAGCATTACAGTAAAAAAATGAATGACAATCGATTACAGTAAAAAAGCAGTCAGAAACTACAAGGTGTGAAACAGAACAGCAATTAAGCAATGGCCCGACAAGTAAGATATCCCCAGCAGAAAATTTCTTTTCGACACAGGCTAAGCAGAGCTTTGCAACACTTGTAATATTAAACAAACGAAGAATTGTTAAAATAGCAGACAGAAGATCAGACGGAAGCCAGCATCTTCAAATTGGAGATAACAATTCAAGAAACACAAGCACCAGTGTAAAACTAGCTATCCAAATCATTGATCGAGCGGCAACGGAGCCGACAAAAGCGGTGACGACAGTTGAGCCAAAAAACATAGCCAAAAGACAGTTGGAAAAAATCAATCAACGCAAGGAAACAGAAAAAAAACTTACAAAAAAAAACTTCAGCTTTCGAACTGTAAAGAAAAAACATATCGAAACTAGAAGACGATCGTGCTTTACCTTTTTCGCTATTCGATCGAAAAAAAAATCACCAAGACCTGTATAAGAGTCGTTACTACGCTCATCGAATCTTAAAAAAAAATGAAAATATTCAGCAATAGAATTTTGAAATTCGAAGTTTTAAGCTGCAATCCTGCTGAAACCCACAAAAGCATAACTACCTGATTTTGCTAAACTGTGCTTCGCAAACACCAGAAAACGCCAAAAAAAGCAGCTCTATAAAGTGAAATAAGAAAAGTAGAAGAAAAAATATAAATCAGCCTCGAATGAGTAAAACTTTTGTGTGTGTCGGACTCGAACGTGCTATCGCGAGACTGGGAGACACGCCCTGCCCTCTCCGTCACGGACACTTAACAATGAGTAAACAATAGCCACAAATAAAGAAGAGAACATATGCTATGAAACTTCCAATGCTACTGATCGTGATTATAGCAAAAAAAGCCACCGAATGAGCGCTTACATTTTCGAGTTAGGTCGGAAAAAATTAGAGTCATATCAATAAACTACGCTCCCTAGTGTAAAAAATGAAAGTAGTAAGCGATTGCATACCTTTCATTGATGAAAAACTGAATGGTGACACAGAAAAAACTGTAGCCATTGAAAATAAAATGAGTCTGAAAGCCAAAATAAATGCAAAGATTCTAGAATTTTATAATAGACGCGACAACTTATAAGTATTAGAGATACAGGAAACAAGCCATCAAGAAAACCTGAAACCAACATAGAAACTAAGCAGTTTTTTGTCGTTATTCTCGTAGGTTGGTAAAAATTTACGAAGTAACAAAAAATAACAAAACACTTCAAAAGAATAACTACCATGATGTCAGAATAATTGAGCGAAAACAAACTTTCGTTGGTTAATGAATAGAGCAAAAAGAAATAAGAAAAAGTGAAAAACATCTAAAAAATAAATTCGTAATCTGCCAAATCGAACCACCGACTTGGAGATTACTCGGTGTTAAGCTTTCATACGTCGGATTAGATCAAAGCTACGCTAACACGTAAATTTTTCAATGAAAAAAAAGTTCAATGAACAATCTAAAGCATTAGTTAAACTGGCATACCTTTCAACTTTCCACGCGATATCTGGGAGAAGGCGGCGGCCGCAGAGATCACATTGCGCACTGTCCTCCAACCGGCGATGCCCACAGGCGAATAGCAGCAGAGCTCTTTCACGAAGAAACTACTCGTGTGACATCTCATAAGACGCATCAAGTCGTTCGTTTTCTCCATATTTTTCTCTCTGAACTCGGAAATATTATATCTCACGTCACCGGCGTAGTGTTTTATCCCAAATGATAATGGATCCTGTTTCACAGGGCGCCACTTAAAGTACTTAGACTGGGCTAGCTTACTGTTTCCCAATTGCTCAAATTTGTCTAAAAGCTTTTCATTAGTCCCATTATACAGCGATGACTCTTCATCAATTAACGCAAACAGACAAAATGGTCGCTTGACGAATAAGTCAATACATGGCTTGTTGTTGACGTAATCAATGTCCATCCAGTTGATTCCGTCATTCTTGTACTCCTGCTGCTCCAGGCAAAAAATGTTATCGTTGAAGTAGAATTGGAGCTGTTCGTTGGCAAAGTTGATGCAAAACTGTTCAAAGCTGTTCTTTAAGCCGATGTCCTCGAAGCCGAATATGTCTAGGATTCCGATCTGCCTCTCCTGTAGCAATTCCAAATCTACTTTCAATTTAAATATTATTCTAATGCTTGTAGACAATGAAAAATCAAAACTATCCCCGCCCATTTTAACTTAGCCTACATCAAAAAATCCTTTATTCTGGCTGTTTTCTCTAAATTCGTCTTTACTTTTTTTTTACCTCTCCGGTTGAATATATAGACTGATAATAGCTGGATTCATTCATAGAAGCACTGAACATGCGGAAATTGATCTGTCTGATGATCCAGTCAAACAGGGAACTGTAAAGCGACTTTGCCACAGTGTCTCTCGCATTTTCCGCGTCTCTGATCGAGTTGTGCTTCACAAACTGTGCGGCGCCTTCGTGCTTTCTAGTTTGCAACGTCAACTTCACTTTGTCAAGGGGCAGTTTCATCAGTTCACAGAACAATTTCAGATGCTCTTCGTTTATGATCTGGACCAGATCCTTTTCTAGATTTTCGCTGGCTGGGAGTGCGAACTGAACGTTTCCCAAATGGAGGATGGCGGCTAAGATTGTGAATACATTGACTATAGTGCTTGAGAGCAGTCCCTGCTTCTGCTGTTTCTCACTGTAACGCATGCCAGATGCCCCCAGCAGTTCATGCATAGACTGCACAAGGTAGAGAAAACTTTCCAAGTCCTCTTGCTCGTTCGAACTCAGCTCGCTCTGAAAAAAAATTTTTTCAAATTGTTTTCAAGTGAGATTATTATACAAACTACTGTGAACATTACAGGTTCTCGTACAACATCGCCACTTGAGAGAGCGCCATTAGACTATTATCTGGCCTGTTGTCAGACCTTAAAAATCAGCTCTTCAAAAAATTATCCACGAAATGCTTGCTGTTAAACTTCGAACAACCCTTAAATTCACATTCATGACAGAAGCGGACCTAAGATTTTCTCGAGGGGGACGGCGGATTTTCATTTTTTATAAAATTTACTAGGCCAAAGCACAATAAAGAGCCTAATCCGATCAAAGTTTCTGCGCCGCACTCAAAATTTAGAAGAAACCGGCAAAAATTACGTTTTAAGGCACTTTTTGGAAGGTTCTGCGCGCGCTCTCCCTCTCAAAATTATTACATACTTGCGCCAACGTATTATTTAGAAAAATTTTAGAGGGGTCGACGAAAAATGGATGTCCTAATATAGTACCGAAGGACCCTTTGAGTTGTCAGGGGACAAATCTCTGTAAGCCGGAAGGGGGCTATGCTCGCTATGCTCATTGATTCTTAAATAGTTCACTGTTTTATAAAAAGACGAGCCGTTATGACATGCTAATGAAAAAACAAGAATCACAACAAAGTAACTAGCCTGATTAAGGTAGTGGTAGTCCGAGGCCTTGGTCAGACTGAGCATCTCTTTCAGCCATGAAAACTGACTCTTGCAAACTTCATCTTCATCAGTGTAGTCTGACGCCAACAGATAGAAAAACACATGGTAGTTCCTGTTAAACACACCACACAAAATACCACACTACAAACTGACACAGAACAAAACAGGCCAATTTACTACGCAAAGTACGCTTTACATATAGAATTACACATAATAATTACCTTTCATTCTTCTTATGCTGAATGATCCTCGATTTCTCCAATAGGTATTTTTGGACACGAGCTCTGAAAAAGAAGATTAATTCAATTTTAGTGCCACGTGAACAACTTCTGGATCTTTTCTATTGTTTCTACTGCCTAGTTGCAAAAACTGGAGATTTTGAAGTGTTTTTTTTTATAAACTTGTTTGACAAAATTTAAAACAAAGTACCCCGCCCCGATTCTCACCACGCTAGGATTTTTGTATAATGGGGTAGGTGACTTAGCTAAAGGGAGAGAGGGGAATGTTTAATGTATCGAACCACAGCCAACATACAGCGGGAAAACTGTGAATTACCTCACGAAAATAAAAAAAAATGACCGTCTTTCAAGTTTCAAGAAAAAATAAATCACGTGAATATTTTGTGTTTGACATTTTTTTTCATAAAACTAACCCAATTTAAGAAAATTGGATCAGTTTGTATTTTTTTATTTCGCTGAAATCAATTCAAATTTACTTTCGAAAATTGAAGTCAATCACATTTTTTTGCACCATTGCCACCATTTTCTTAACCCAACCCTTGAGTGCTTTTGCCTTTTTTACAGCAACTGAATTTGAATTGAACTGAACAAAAATCGAAAGTCGAACCGGGAAACCAGAAAGAAATTTGAGCTTCAATCGTAACTTTTATTCGTTTAATTTAAAATTCAAAATTTCTCTTTGCTTTGACATTTTAGACGATGGCATCGAGCTGTTCAAACTTCTGCAGTATTATTTTTACAAGGGTTGATGAAAATTTAGAATTTGCAAATCCAAACCAAAAAATTTCCAAAAAAAAGGAAAGCAGATCGAATGACACCAAAATATTTGCACAAAAAATGTTGATTTTCATGGTCAACAAAGTATAATACCAACTGATCGAAAAAATGCTGCAAAATCAGACTCATCAAACAAGTGCGTAGGTTCTTACCCGTTCACTATTCCCCCCGCCTTGTACTGAATCTGAATGTACTTTCCATGTCGACTCGAGTTGTCGTTGTGGTCCGTTTTCGCATTGCCGAATGCCTTAAACATCCTTAACGTTATTCAACAATCACATCACTACTTTTTTCGACATAAAATTAGTAAACCCGTACTTGAATTTAAATTTTAAACTCTTTCAACATTGTCATATGCAATAAAACTGGGAATTAAGAACGACCTTACAAGCGTGAATACATTGACTCTTCAGACTTTACATCTAAGATCACGCATTTAGCCATAATATCACGTGAACAATTATAAAAACAGAAACTTTAAAATGTGGAGGTGAGTGGAAAACTGCTCTTGATTTGAACTAATTTTACCCCAGCAAATTCAGTTTTTTTAATTAGTAAGCAACAGAGTGTTGTTCGGTACATCTTCAGTTCTAAACACATAGAACAAATAAGTTCAAGGAACAAAAAACCTTATATTTTCCCTTAAAAGCAACCGCATTCAACTTACAAGTGCGGAACATTTAAAAATGAACAATTTTTCTTGATGTTGAGACAATTGAAAAAAATTCGAACGGCTACTTTCATCTTAACACAAATCTAATTGCGCAGCTAAGAATACCTTTGATAACTGTCTACGCAATTGGAAGACGCAGCAAAAAGTATCTTTAGCAAAAAAAAACATCCGACAAAATAATGGTTATGATGTTAAAAGATTTCCAACTAATTAAATTCTCGGTTAATGCATTTAAAGTGAAAATTTCAAACATAAGCGATGCGGAGCTTCGCACCACTTACGATACCATGCAATATAGCATTTTTCGAGAAGACAGATATGCTAGAGGACGGAAATGCTAGAGGAAAGAACTTAAGAAGAAGCCATTCAGTCCATTTAAACGAGTTCAAAGATTTTTTTAGCAACTACATCTACAAAAACCTCATAGGTTTGCCTCGAATGGTATTCTTGCGAACCATCAGCAAAAAGTGCATTTCAACACGGTGTTAACATATGCCATAATTGAGAAAAAGTGAACAACTAAGAATGTTTAACGATATTTTTTTTTAGAAAACTAACGATGACAAAAAAACTGGCATTTTCAGACCCGGATTACAATGGTATTCATTGAAATCAAATATTGATAGTTCCATAAAGGGTAGCTCTGATAATTTGCTCTTGCTCTATGTCAAAATTTGATTATTGAAATTCGAAGAAAGTGTTGTCTAAAGTGGTCTTTGAAAACCGGCATTTTGGACAGTAAAATCCTGAACTTGCGCTTGATTTTGTCCCCTAGTGTAGTGCAAAAACATAGACAGATAACATCCTGATCGTCAAGATCGTGATTGTCAAGATCGCGATCATCACTCTGTTCTTTTCTGCACAATTTCTTGAGCTCAAAAACATCAATCGCAGATAGTATTAAGTGAAATGCAACACCAATTTCAAAATTGAAAGATTGCTTGTGTTAACATTATGAACAATCTTTAAATAGAGAGAGAGAGAGAGATTTGGAGATTTCTTTGAATATATACATATGTTTATGTTAAAATATAACAAATCTCTAACTCTCTCTCTCTCCCTCTCTCTACTTAAAGATTGTTCATAATGTTAAAACAAGCAATCTTTCAATTTTGAAATTGGTTTTGCATTTCACTTAATACTATCTGCATATATACGTCGAGAATGAGAGAGAGATAGATAGAAAGATAGAGATAGATAAATAAATAGATAGATAGATAGATAGATAGATAGATAGATAGATATAGATGGATAGATAGATAGATAGATAGATAGATAGATAGATAGATAGATAGATAGATAGATAGATAGATAGATAGATGGATAGATATATAGATAGAGATACATAGATAGGAAGATAGATAGATAGACAGATAGATAGATAGCCAGATAGTTAGGTAGATAGATAGACAGATAGATAGATAGATAGATAGATAGATAGATCGATAGATAGATGAATAGATGAATAGATTGATGGCTAGATGCACAAAAAAACTTCAAGATGCAAGAAACATCAAAATGGACATATTTTTCATCTGACACCATGAACGATCTGTTTAAAGAATTTGATTTACATCTCGATTCTAACCATATAAAAGCAGAATTACTTGAACATTGTTTGAAACGTGGTATTACCTTAAACGTGCACAGATAATTTATGCACTTGACCATAGCAAATAATAAACAAGGCAAGATATATGTCACACGCAGTGACCGTTGCAGAGAAAGCTTATGGCAAAAAATATATAGCCTTTGAAAACTGCCCTTTGAATTTCAAGAAAATTTATGCTTGACATTTTTGGAGCAAAATAACTCAATTTGAGAAAACTGGAGAGTTCGGTAAAATGGGAAATCCCCGACGCTGGGCAATCAATTAAATAATTTTCATTTTCAAAACTAGAAATCGATTAAATTATCTCGCGAAATTTCCTCTTTTGAAATTGGAGGGCCCCATTTTCCTAAATTTTGGCAGAATTAAAACTCAAAGAGGGAATATATATCTAAGAGAATTCATAAATGCATTAATATGTACAAATGCACTTTGTAGTTATTTGAGCATTTTAAAAAATTTCCTGGGCGAAAAAAGCCAAATGAAAAATCATTACGCCCTATGTTAGAATCTGAACTATGTTCATCGACTCTTATAAGAGTATCAAATGATTGAATACTGCTGTTAAACAAGATGTTTGTGAAAAAAAACAAGCCCATGTTCTGATTTGTTAACGCTGAATTAAAACAATTAAAAATTATCTTTGCTCGGGGCGAGAAGTTTCACATAGCTTATTCGCTCACTGCGGTTACAAAATTTGTTCATAAAGATTGAAGTGCCAGTAGGAATGCGTTTCTCACCTACCATGTAGCTTGCACGAAAAAAAGTTTCCTCAGAGATTAACTTGGAATAAAAAAAAAGTAGCGTGTCACACACCTCCGGTGCTTCTAACAGATTGATGAGCGTGATAATTGCTTGTATGCTGAATACAGTTTAACATAGAAGCGTAGCTTGGCTTCGCAACCACTAGCGAGAGCACAAAAAAGCAGCTCTAGAAAAAGCAATAACAAAAAAATTGAAATAAGCCTCGAATTAGTAAAAAAAAAAATACGGCTAGATCTAGGAATCGATCTGCGACCTACTGCAATATAAAGATTTTGAGTCTCACGCACTAAACACTCAGCCACGTATGCTTATCTGACGACAAACACAAGCCACGAAAAAAGCAGCTGCATATGCTAATAAATTGCCAATGCCATTCAGCAAAAGTGGCAACAAATATAAAGAGACACAATTTTGCAAGTAATAACTTGAAATCTAACAAATCGGAAAGCATAAAACCTCATTATGTATAAAATATGCATTTTAAAAGGTGGCGAGATAAATTGAGTTCGAAAATTTCTGAAATCGAGTTTTTATGATTGTTATGTTGTTTGAAATAAACAGCTTTTTTCGGTTCATTTGATGAATTCAAAATATATCAACTGTGTTAACTTAATACGATTCGAAAGTCAATGCACAACCGATAAAAAAGCTGCAAAGGAGCCAGCCCCAAAAGTGGCACCAATATTTGCTACTTAGATTATAAAAAAGCAGGTTCTTAGTAATACACTAAGCTGTCGCCAGTGTTAAAAAAACTACACCATAACAATTGACGGGCGCATCCAACAACAACGCTTTCTATTTCGTAAATTGAACGGAAAAAAATTCAACTTCGAGGTTCCTTTTTAATTAAAATGGTCAAATATCCTTAATCACTTCAGATATGCATTTAGTTAACTCAGAAACAAAGCCCTAAAATGGCAAAATCATGAATTTCATAAGTAAGGTTCTTGTTTAAATCAACTTTTTTTTAACCCGTACGTATATCAATTGCTCCAATCAACCGTTTAACACACTAATTGTTTCAAATTGTCCTACTCTTTTTTTTAACACTTTAATTCTTAAATTCATTAAAATCATAAAAAACATCTTCATCTCGGAAACAAAAAACTTTTAATCAGTCGTAATTAGAGGCCAGATGTTGATGAAATCATAATAAACATCTTCATCTCGAAAACTAAAAACTTTTGATCAGTCGTAATTAGAGGCCAGATGTGCATCCCTGAGAGTACCATCACCCGGGAGTAAAATGACATCAGCCGCCATTAGGTCGAGAATTAGAAATTTTTAGAAATAATTTTCATATCTAAATTTATCGATAGCCTAAAAAATCATTAAAAACCTCAAATTTGGAAAACTAATAAGTTTTTGCAACTATATTAGGCTTTTTTATGAAATTAAGAATATTTAAACATTTTGAAAAAGCATTCAAAAAACATAATATCTCGTAATCTTAGAAAACTTCAGCAGTTTAATTTCGAGGAGAAACCTGTAATCCCTGAGACTACCCTGGCAGTACCCAACTATAAAGTTGTGAAAATCCTATTTCATGAAAGTTTTCGTTTCTCAGCTTTTTGAAAACTTTTGAAAAAATCATTAAGAAAACTCCATTTGATTGTCTCGATAAAAACAACTAGGGGCCCAGCTAAAGCTGGAGAAACGTGCTTGATATTAAATGATTTTGCTGTACTGATGCACTACTAAAAATGTTATTTTAAAAATTGGACTTTGCCTAAAACGTTAGTTGTTTCTCTACTAAAATTAGTGAGAAGAGTACTCAGCTTTTTGAAAACTTTTGAAAAAATCATAAAAAACTCCATACCTCGATAACTGATAGCATTTGAGCAGTCACACGCGGAGACAAAATGAATGAAAAAAAAACATATAATGAAAAAAAAACAAGGTGAACCATAATTTTTATGAATGTCTCGATAAAAAAAACAACTAGGGGCCCAGCTAAAGCTGGAGAAACGTGTTTGATATTAAATGATTTTGCTGTACTGATGCACTACTAAAAATGTTATTTCAAAAATTGGACTTTGCCTAAAACGTTAGTTGTTTCTCTACTAAAATTAGTGAGAAGAGTTCTCAGCTTTTTGAAAACTTTTGAAAAAATCATAAAAAACTCCATACCTCGATAACTGATAGCATTTGAGCAGTCACACGCGGAGACGAAATGAATGAAAAAAAACATATAATAAAAAAAAAGGTGAACCATAAAACAAGGTGAACCATAATTTTTATGAATGTCTCGATAAAAAACAACTAGGGGCCCAGCTAAAGCTGGAGAAACGTGCTTGATATTGAATGATTTTGCTGTACTGATGCACAACTAAAAATTTGATTTCAAAAATTGGACTTTGCTTAAATTTTAAATAATCAATTTTCCCAAGGAAAAAACTTTTCTCTTACAAAAAATTCGGGAGTCACCGCTTCTGCGCAATCGGTTCTTTCAATTGAAGTTTTCATCTCATATTTGATTAAGAAAATTTAAAGAAAATTCAAGAAGTTTCTAAAAAACGGTCCAAAGTTCTCAGAAACGGTCAAAAGGATTTCCAAAACGCAAAGATTTTTCCTGCAAAAAGCAGGTTGTGGCCGCTTAAGGATAGAAGATTCCCAAAACCGGGTTTCTCGATTGAACACAATCTAAAAGTTGGCACGATAATTTTGTGCGCAAAGTCAAAAAAGTTTACAAACACCTGTCAAAAATTATAGTTCAAGAGACTGGGCATATCCAGATACACCGGTAGGCTTTCAAAGACCTGTTGTTTCCATAAAACATATATTAGATTTGGCACGATAGTTAGCGAGAATATACAAAAATTTTAACAAACGTTTAAAAAATTTAAAATTTGACTTTTCCGAGGGCGATAAATTTTTCCGTAAAAGACTTTGTGAGTGGCCACTAATGCAGCGGAGCTTCTCACTACCCGTTACCTCAATTGATCCCACAAAATCAGATTTGAGAGGTTAGTTTTCGAGAAAAACGAAGATTCACAAAACGGTCAAAAATCAAAAATTTGACTTTCCGTGGGCCATAACTTTGTGTAAAAAAAATGTGGGCGTAGCCGCTCATGCAGAGACCTATTTAAAACCATTCTTTTCATTTAAACCAAAATCTCAGATTTGAGAGGTATAGTTTTGATTAAAAAAAAAAACATTAAAAAAAATAAAAAATATGGGTCAAATATTTCCCCCGACTTTTTCGAAGGCTGTAGAAAGAGGGGCAACAAAGAAAAGACTCTAGGGGAGTATACAGGGACAGAGGAGACTAGGCGGTCCATCAATTCCTGTCCCTTTTTTGAAAATCAGTAGTGTTTGAGAAAGATTTAATTTTTTCCAACAAAATTGGAAAAATTTTTCATAATGAAAAAAAAATCAACAAACTGATTGGTTTGAATACAACCAACTTGAAAAAAGTAGAGGGGAGTGTTTGAAGTGCGCTTCCATTGAATCGGCCCATAATTAGATCATTAAATGGGCCAAAAAAATTTAAGGCGAGGAAATTTTTAGTGAAACAAAAAACACAAAGAAGGAACTACGAAGTCAAGGTAAGTGACAGTAAAAATTGTAGGAAAAAACCAAGCACTAAGAGCAACATTTTAGAAAAATGCGAGCACCAAAAAAAGATTCCAAGATGTCACAACTAAGCCAACAGATAAGCAGACAAATAATTGGCCGACAATTTTATCTGAAACAGAATATTTATCGTTTAAAAAACAAAGGTCCTGGTCAGATTCGAACCCAGGATCTTTGCCACCCAGGCATATTTGTTACCTCCAGGCTGAGTTGGTCGGGAACGCATAGAAATTTGAATTCATTATCAACCAAGATATAAGTGATTCTGTTAAATGAGCTGTTAAACCGAAAAAAAAATTCATATCTCAGAGATTTCAGCAGTCAAATTTAGAGGGAAGACTTGTAACACTTGAGAACATTCTGATGGTATCCAATTATAGGGTCTACAAATTCAAATTTTTTGAACTTTTCATAAATTAGTTTTTCCGAAAATTTATTTAAAAATAATTCAAAACGTCATAATTCGGAAACTTAAAGCCTTTGAGCAGTCATATTTGAAGGCAAGATTTTCAACCCCTGCTAGCACCCAACTAGTGAAATCACTTGGTGATTTTTTTTTTCAACATTTTCATTCATTTAAAAGTTTTTAGAACACTTTTGAAAAATTCTCGCATCTCGTTAGCTAAAAAGATTTGGGTATTCATAATTGGAGGCCAAACTCAGAACATCTGGAAAAATCATGACAGCATCCCACTATCGGGTTTCTAATCTCAAACTGTTTTTTAATAACGTATTTGTGATGCAATCTCGGCTTCAAGGCCTTCAATTTATAACGGCTTGTAAATATGGCAGTTTGTAGAACATCTGCCAGTTGCGGCACTTTACGAAAAGAAGGAATGTAGGATGTATTTCAGGAACATTCTAGAATTTCTCACCTCGAGAATGGGACTGGTGTGTGCGATCATGAGTTCCAGCATGGTGGGGTCTCCCTGGTTGGCGAGCTGCATGAGGTACCTGATGATGTCATTGGCCGCCACCGTCTTCCCACTGCCACTCTCCCCACTTATGACTATGCACTGGTCCTGCTTGCTCTCTCGCATCCCCACAAACGCCTGGTCACCCACTGCAAACACGTGTGGCTCCAAACCTACACGGCCAAAGTAAAGCGCAAATTTTAACACAAGCCAAACCAAATTAAGAGTACACACCGACAAAACATAGCGAACTTAGATAGCCCACGGACAATGTCTAAACCCAACTTTCCGAGTTTCAGAAAAAATATCCATTACATCTAATCTCCTTGCATTTCAACAAACTTTTAGGAATAACGCTTCTTTTTAAAAAATTAATTCAACTAGAAAAACTGGGTCAATAGGCACTTAGTCCGCCGGGAAATCTTTAAATTTAATCTAAACCCCCGTTTTTTCGCGCCATTTCTCTTACCGTCATTGGAAAGGGTAATTTGCCATCATTTTACTAACTGAGTTTGGATTGAACTCGAATCACCACTGAAAATAGAACGCAAATACAGCTTCTTTTTTCATGAAAAAAAAATCCACCATTTTTATTTTCTCAAAACTGAACAGCCCTTCAAATGTTATTTTTTAAAAAAAGTAACAAAAACACCATTGGCGTTAGTCAAGTTGATACAAAAGTGCGCCGAAAGGAGGTTTATTTTATTGAAAAATGAAACTTTTAAAAAAAAACAATTTTTGACAACTTTTCACAATAAGAGTTCTAAAGAAAATCAAGAAATCCAAAAAACCATTGAAATCCAAAAAAAAACTATTGAATACCGGAGAAAACAAAAAAAACTTGCGATGTGCCTCGATCTCTAGTTCGGCTATGTTCCGGAATCAAACCGCCGACCTGTAAATTAGGACTCACACGTGTTGATATCTGCGCCACGGATTAAAGCCAAACAGATTGATTTTCCAATTTATTTCTTTCAGATGTTTGAATATGAGCTCTGATTGGCTAACATAGTTTTCGGGCATTTTGTACTTCTGACATCAGAGTTTCTCACTTCTAATTCACAGGGCACACGAAAATACTGAGTTTCACGTGCCCTGTGAATTAGAGGGGAGAATTCCGCATTTCAGAAGTACAAAATAACCGAAAACTATGTTAGCCAATCAGCGCTCAGTATTCTAAAATCTGAACAAACTAATCTGGAAAACCAATCAGTTTGAGACAGTTTAGATGACGCTGATTGGTTGAAAAGTGTCGGGCATTCGGTGCTTTTCTGTCACGAGATAATTCCTCAGAACAGAGCGCGCTTACCCCTTGAAAGAGTTCCAGTGGTCGAACTCTGCAGCTGGTACTTTTGCATCGTCTCCACCCCGTAAAGAGAGCCCACCATCCAGTATGGGTTGACTGAGATCAAAATGGTCCCCACATACGTGTAGAACTTCTTCTTCTCAAACCTACAAACACATTTACCAAATTCATGAAATAAATAGAATACATTTCTCGAACCAGGGCCGAATCTAGGGGTTTCTCGAAAGGGAGAAGAGCAGACTTTTCAAATTGAAAATTTTGCCTACTTTTTTGGGCCCTGATTTAGCAAAGATGTACTGAGCCGCAGGCAAATTATTGAAAGAAACGAAAAAAGTTGTTTACTTTTTGGAAGGTTTTGGCCAAAAAAAAAAAACATTTTTTCATAGCGCGCTACCCTTGCGCAACAAGTTGAAGTAGTAAATGCCTGCACTTGATTTGGCTCTTAATAAGTTCCCAACAGATTATTATATAAGTTGCTTGCCGCAAAAAAAGCTCCAATTTTATCAACAAGCAATTAATAATTGGCTATAAACTCCAATTATGAATTTGGTACACGATATGCAGACATTTTTTCGATAACTTACAAATTTCTTACTGAAATGATTATATCTACACCAAAACTTTCTCCCTATAAAAAATAAAAATATTCTGCCTGAATAACAGGAATTTTGTGTCCAAAAAGGGAAGCCATCAGTGCCATATTTTAAAATTTAAGAAAAGCGCCCCGAAGAAAGGCATCCAGAACTTAGCAAGGTGCCCCGAAGAAAGGCGCCCCAAAGCCAGAACTTAGTAAGGCGCCCATAAACCGCCACATTTATTAATGAAAACCTTCGGATTCCTTACCAAAAACTTGCAGAAGTTCACCAGCAGTACGTAATTTTTCTGTGTGAGTGTGGTGTTGATTTAGTAAAGTAAAGAACTCGGAAAACCATTTTGGTAGACTTTTAGAAGACTTGCTAAGTTTGATCATCATCATTATTGTTTTTTTATGATATGCATATGAACAGTTGTAGATAAGCATTACAATTTAATTGTTCTAGAGGCACAAATCGGACACTAATGAGAACTAACCGTCCTTTGATGTGGTAGAGCAACGTTCTCTCGTTCAGATCTGGAAGAGCACAGAGATCGGACTGGTCGCTCGAGGGGAGACTGAGTGCCGAGGGGGAGTACTGCTGAACCAAGGTGTTCATCACCCTCCCATCCCCCAACCGGGGCATTTTATCGCCCTTTCTGTTCACACACAGTATAAACACATTCTTATGCTGTCCAGGTGCCGAACTGAAACTGTTAAGTGACGACGATGATGGCTTGGACTGTAAAGTATCTGCACCGTCGTCAATGGTATTGAAGCGTGAAGGTGTGTACGGTTTAATGACTGGGAAAATCTGGTCCAAAACAGATACTTTGTACTCAGTCAACGGCAGTTCTTCAAAACAATGACCAGCGGCAGCAAAATATACACAGTGCAGTTCATAGTCTTTTAGTTCAACTTTTGTAAGCCTTCTAGAGCTCGGAGCAATATCCTCCGTTAACACAGAGGGTCCATTGCAAGACAAGGAATCGTTTTGTTGCTGATTTGACGCTTTGAATTCGCGGACAGTCTAAAAATCATTCAAACACATTTCGTTTTTTGAAATATTTATCTATTTTTAGATCAACTACGCAAGCAAAATAATGGCATAGGCTTGATTGTAAGTGCATCCAATTCACGCCATTGGGTATGGTGATGTTTATAGGTACGCACTTATCACTGAATTATTATGAATAAAAATTATTTAGTCGATTGAATTTTGTAATTTCTAGATTAGACCTAGCCAACACTAAACGATAGCCAATTTACTTTTTTGGACTGTTTTCTAACTTTTAATTCGCAGCTAAAATATATCACGTTACAGCTCTCTGAATATCATTAACTTTTAATGATAGGCAATTTTTTCATTAGCATGAACCAATTTGATAATACTGTATCAATAGGACACTTTTTTAATCTTCTGGAATTTAACTAACTTTCGTAACTACTTTCGAAAGAATTTTCCTTACAAAAACCTAAAATAGTGTCTTCGTTTCGTTCATTGACACTTAACTCAGTTGATGTACAAGAAGACAAATGTTCAGACTACGGCCTAATTGCAAGGCATTTTGAACACAGAGGAGCTTCGCGTCACTTGCGATACAGCGCAAGCATATTATTGCAAAGAAGCGAAAAAAAATAGAGACAAAAAAAACTAATTTGAAAAAGCTTGGAAAATGGAAAATTCAATTTCAAAAACAGAGCGGAGAAACTCAACCACCAAGATTAAAGCTTTCAGAGATTACCGAGCGGCCATTTATCCGTCGACATTTGGGTTCACGCCCCTTTAAACGAAAACAATGGCCAGAAATTGTAGTCGAAATTAGTTTCAGCTATTAAAATTTGTTACTTGAAACTTTCACACGACAAACAACCTACGACATACATTTTAGTCCCTCCAAACGACATACATTAACAAGGCATACAAACAATTTTTTCCCAATATCAATAACTTCCTCTATTTATCATGCAACTTTTTTGCCGTTTTTTAAAAACTCAGAAAGAGAGCCATTTGATTTCAGGGCAAAAAACTGATTAAACGCCAGACTTCAAGGCAGCCAAGAAACAGACACGAGCAAATTTTACTTGATAAAAATTCTCATGTTTATTCTGAAAAAACAAATTTCAAATAAGCGAAAAAAAAAAAGATGAAAAATTGAATCCCGTGAAATTCTTCTATGACTTCAAAAACTATCAGTTTGACGAAATATCAAATACTAAAGACAAAAAAAACATACCGCAAGATGGAGTTAAAATTTTCAATAAATGATATCTACTTTTTATTGGTGTTTTTATTGGTGGTTTTTACCTTCAACTCATAACCTGAGTATTTAATCATCCAAAAAATTTTCAAAATAAATCAATTTGACAAAACAGGATCATTAAGTAAAAGTTTTCATCCTCTCAGAATTCTGAAGATTTAATTCCACTTTCAAAACTAGAAGTTGATAACGCTTTTCGTGACCAATACACTTTCGTAATTAGAGCGCTCAACTGACCTAATTTTTAGCACATGAAATTGAATTGAACTCAAATAATGCATTATTATCTTAAAGCACTCATAAATGCATTAAAGAGTCACTGAAAAAAGTTATTTCAACCACTTTGAGAAAAATGAATCAATAGGTAAAAATTTATTCCGCTGGGAAACCGAAAAATCAAATTTGAGCCTTAAGACTTTTCGTTAAAAAATCATCACGAATCTACGTAAGAGTCTAATTATTTTAATCAATTCTTTAAAACCAGTAGAGTAGTTTTTGAGAAAAGATACTGCGTCTCCCAAACAACTAACTTTTTATTAAAAAGAACCTTAATAGAAAATTAAATAATTCAAGTGCGAACTTTTGGAATTTTTCAGAAATTGTCCTACGCGAACTCCAAATTATCTTATCTTTCGCACACTCTTATCTTATCCTTTGTGTACTCCAAATTTTCTCCATCATAGATAGGCGCACCGTAAGATACGCAAACATGACTACGTAAACATCAATTGCGCACCGTAAGATACGCAAACATGACTTCTCAAATATCATAATTTTACTTTATTTTAGCACGGAGGCGAAGCTGTGCTTCCCAAGCACTAGCGATAACACGACAAAAAAGCAACCTTATAAAGTGAAACAAAAACAAGAGAAACAAGCCTCGAATTTTAAAACTGCTACGTATTTGATTCGACTCTGCGACCTTGAGATTTGGAGTACCACGCCCTTTTGGCCACGAACGCTTAACAATCGGCAAACACTAGTCACAAATAAAGCAGCTACATATGCTAATGAGTTGCCAATGGGAAGATGCAATAGTAGCACCAAATGAAATTAGACACAATTTTGCAAGAAACAGCTTGAAGTAAAACATACTGAAGGCATCCACACTAATTTTGCATGTAATAAATTGGAAAGCATAAAGAAGCATGGTGTATAAATTATGCATTTCAAAAAATGCGAGATATATTGAGTTAGAAAATTTCTGAAATCGAGTTTTTATGGTTATTATGTTGTTTAAAATAAATAGCTTTTTACGGTTCATTTGATCAACTTGAAAAGCATCAACTGTGTTAACTTATTACTATTCGAATGTCAAAACACATGCGATCAAAAACCGCAAAGGTGCCCCAAAAGTGCACCAATATTTCCGACTTAAGTTTTAAAATTAGAAGAGTCTCAGTATTACAGTAACGCTCACTAAAGTTCGCTAGTGCAAAAACGCTTGCTAAATTTACACTTAAATTCGAACGTCTCCCTATTTCGACCTCAGAGATGATTCAACACAACAGAACATGAATGTGAAGCTGCACTTTGCAAACACAAGCAAGAAAACGTTTAAAAAATTAGCTCTACAAAAAAAGAGAGAAAGAAAGAAAAGCTAAGCTTTGAAAATTTAAACTTCTTCTATGTTCCTGAATCGAATCTCACATCTCAAGATTAAGAGTTAAACGTTCCCGCATCTTCGCTTGACATCGGTAATCACTAGCCACCAATAAAGTAGATACAAAGATGCTATTTAATTTGATAACTAAAAGCAACTTAACCTACAAATGTTTTCTTTGTGTAACGAATTGAACAACTCATTTTAAATACTACACAACTCATTTTAAATACTACACAAAACTGTTTTGATTTTCGAAGACCTAAAATTAACGACCAAGATTACACAATCTCAATTTACTCTAAAAACTCCAAGCAAATACTATAAGCAATCAACTATATCACAGATATTTGCGAAAAAAGTTAGCTGAGAAGAACGAGAAAAAAATATTCTGCAAAAACAATTCTGCAAATATTTTGCTCAGACAAACCAGTCAGACATCGCGCCTTCAACCACAACTAAACTGGAGCAGTCAGTACTACAAAAAAATTGAGCCAAAAAACTCAGCGCCGTTCATATATGCAAAAGCGTTTGAAGCAGGGTGTAATAACAACTAAGATGTAACTGATTGATAGATATAAGACACAGATACGAAGCAGAGCTTCGCATCATTGACAAAATAACTTGGTGAGCTAGCAGACAGAAAATGAGAAGAAATCCATTCATATAAACATAGCCAATCGAAGATTGGAAAGAGTAATGAACGCAAGTAAACATAAAAAACATTTTCTTGAAAAAATCTCCACTTTCGAATTTCCAAGAAAAAATTAGATGCCCCTTAAGCTCTCTGAATTTATGACTGGCGCTTTTTTGATAACATGAACCCAACTTGAAAAAACTGGACCACTGGAAAACTAAAAATTAAATTCCACTTTTGAAACCAGAAACCGTTCACGAATTTTTGCGCCATTTGCACATTCATATTTGGAGAGTGCTATTTACGTCACTTTTAGCAGATGAAGTCAAAAAGTGCTTATGTACATAAGTGCATCAATATTTTAAGACTTTTTCCTGAAAAAAAAAACTAAAAAATTCAGTTAGACCTATATAAGTCTTCACTACGTTCATTAAAAAAACCAAAATATTTGTATTTGTCTCGCAATTTTGGTTTTACTAAAAAAAATTGTTCCTCTCAAATGAAGAGCAAATTGCAATTTTTTTTTTGCCAAGTTCGTCTTTCTAGCATTCATTGTAACGCGAATAATTACTAAATAATTTTCCTACCTGGAATTTTTTGTCTGCTTAACTTGTATCTTACCTTTTCGATTACATCATCCGGTAGTGTGAAGTTGTCCAGCTTCATAACAATAGTTTTCAATTGCTTCATAAAACCCCGGCCGTAAATGACCGGCACATCTAGTTCAAACGGATCCTGCCCCCCAGCAGCCCCAATTGTAGGCCTATCGGTGACATCGGGGGTGGACATTTGCGACCCCGGCTGAGAAATAGATAGGAAGTCACAGCTAAGAGACATTCCTTGTACACTCAATTAACGTATTGATAGATTTTCTCAGACGGATAGAATTTTTTTTTGACTGACTCCCTCAATTGTTCAGCGAACAAATTGCGATTCGAGGAAGTGAGCAGTATTTTCTACTGAGTCAAAAATTGAAAAGACAATACTCGTAAAGTAAAAATAATTCATCGAGAAATGTTAGACACAATTATTCAGCTCTTCGACACCATTAACTTCCTAAGATAACCAAATTTATGATGCAGCTTCGAACTCTATTTTTATGCAGACAACAATAAATTGTCTGCCATTAACTTTTATGCGACAACGATAGAGATAAGTTACTGTAGACTTGCTATTGCCGTTGATAATGTTAACCCGAATAAATCAGTGGGTTATCTTTGAAGGCAATCAGTGAGTATAATCGTTACTACTGGAAGCGAAGAATTGGATAAGGCATGCAATACTGTTTTGAAGTAAAGTAAGTTTTGAGACAACGCATCGACATGCTTCAATTGGAATAACGGGCAGCTGCGACGGTCTTTGTTCTATTACTAACTACAATTTATTAACTGAGCAAGGCAGATAGAACTTGTTATACCATTCACTGGTAAAGGTCTAGCAGAGCAAACAAATTATAACTAATTTGTAATACAAATAGTGCAATAACAATGACACGAATAAATTCAAGTCGGAATTGAAATTGGGTTGCTGGGTATCAAAGTCAACTTCATGCGGTTTGAGTCAGAAATACAAATGCCCATGCAATGCATTACAAATAAATCTGAAATAAGGCTCATCTCAGAACACGAAACAATTCGAAAAAATCCACCTCCTCGTCTAAGTTTCCAAGTAAATAATGTTAATAAGTTGTCTGCAGTCAAGGGACAAAAATTGCAACTTTTTTCTATTTCAAAGAGCAAATGAGCATAATTTCTTCAAGTTTTTGCCTTTTTTCCGCAACTATTCAAGATTTCGGATTGAAAACTTGAAACATGTTGGAAGGAGCTAGCCGATATAAATCTTGAGAATTCTTGTTTTAAAGACGTAAAAGAGCCATTTATCATTACTAGTTTCAAAGGTGTTCAAGTTGTGGAAGTATCCTCGCAAACAGCACTAGGCATTTGAGTTTATGGGCTCAAATTGGTTCACTGACAAGCTGATGAGCTTGACTCACTTTTTATGCCACGGAAAAACTCCAGATGAAAGAATTGAAAGAGTTACATGGCCCGGCGTCAAAAAACGACAATTGGAACCTGATCTAAACTACATTTTATGATTGGATAAATTAGATATTTTACCAATGTAAAGTATTTAATATTAACCAATCATGATCCATCTAACTAACAACCCACTTATTTGTAAGTGCTGAAGTTACTTGTAATTTCAGCACCAGAGAGATTTGAATTTAACTTAGAAATTAGTTGGACTCTCCCGAGCACTTCAGCAGCCGCAATAGACCAGTATACCCTAGATCTATTGAGCCTAGCAGAGACTAGTTAAACAACCTGAGACTAGATAGTATAAGAGTAAGATTAGGATCGGTATTAGACTAAGAAGTTGCACGAATCTATCCGGCCGAAAATAAGATAGCGTGACGAGCAGACGGTGTACCCTATCCGAAATTACTCTATGAGTTAACCAACTCGGTCCTAACTCATCTGGTGCGACCATAAGTCTCGAACAAGACCTTAATAGCTTAGAATTAACCAAAATAGATTAGAAATTAGACAAAAACATTTACAAAATGTTATACGACAATAATTTAATCGAAATGTCTCTACGACTCAATAGATCAGAGCCAATATTCCGAACCATAACAGAACTACCCGGAATTGGAAGAAGACCTCGAACCAGAGACGACATACGACAAAGTAGAAATTTGCCATATAGCTATATGATAGTTAGGCAAAAACCAGAACAAACTTTTATATTTAGAATACTACTGGCAATGAATTTAGATTTTCATTTGCAAACATAAAACCTTGAAGTTAATCTTCAAAATCATTTCAGGCGCTAAACAAAATTATTAATATACAATAACGATTGATAAGAAGATCTAAGATCGTTTTCCTAAAACTCTGCAGTAAAATACAAAACATGTTTGAAAAATATTTATTGAAAAATAAAAAATAAAAATTAGTAGCATGACAATAAATGGTTAGTAATCATAAATCATCCTGTTGTTCCAGCTCCATCACCTAAAACATAACAGCAATCATAAACCCACTAATATCATCAAAACACTAAATCTTTCCTTTACACACATTTAAAAATTTATTAAAACTTAAATTCACTTAATTTTAAAACCAGATCATCAAGGCTTATCCTTGGATCTTAAATCATTTTCTACTTAATTAAATTTCAAAAATTGATCATCAAGGCTTATCCTTGGATCTTAAATCATTTTCTACTTAATTAAATTTCAAAAATTGATCATCAAGGCTTATCCTTGGATCAAACAGAACAACTTTGTTCTCCCCCACCCACTTAATTAGTGTCTAACGACCTCAAACGTCGATTCACTACCCAACCCTTTCTAAAGACCTAAGACTAATAGAAATTTTTAAACAAAACTAATCATTCAAATTAGGATAAATAGTGAAGAACTTCGGTTATTCATCCTTCACTTGACCCCCCCTCTTACCAGACCCAGGATAAATCTTAGACTTAGTAAGTTTAAAATAGTATCTAACGAACTACTCGCGTTCTAATTATACCTGAACCTTGTGGATCGATTTACTATTCTCCAACCCTTGAACACAATCACTACCCCTAAGTAAGATTAAGTAAGTTAACACCTTAACTTATACTAGCCACGAGAAAGTAAAAAATCATTCTTCGGAATCGATATACTTTTCTCTCCAACCCTGAACAAACAGACCCAGGTTAAGCTAACCAAAAAATCGTAAGAACTAACAGTTTAGGAAAATAGAAAAAATTTAACAACCTTTTGCATCCGTCATCCTAAACCTTATGTCATTTAAAAACCTAGGAAATAAACAAACAATCGTTTTACACAATTGTGAAATAGATAACAAAAAATACGACCTTGTAATCACACCTCATACACAAACAGTTGGATACATTCGAACAAAACGACAAACACTAAAAAGAAAAATAATAACGAAACAAAGACAAATAACACGAAAAAGATTTTCAAAAAATCGAAACGCATTTTCAGAATCAGAAACCAACAGTTTAGACGAACTTTACAAACTAAAAGAATCAATAGATAAAAATTACCCACTTCACGATCAATTATATTTTTCTGACTCAGAAACAACTTCAAATTCATCAAAAAGAGGAAAAAGAAGAATAAAAAAGCAGTATAAACACAAACCAGTACATTTATACAATTGGAATCAACCAATTCGACACATTAATAATTACATATTAACAGTCATCGAACGAAAAAATGAGCTCAACGCACACCCCAGGTGAAGAAAGTCCAGATGATGATGAAATCTTTCCTTTTATAGTAGATGCAACCACTGATAGAGGACAGCATATATTTTGCAAAAATTTACTATTAAATTTATTTGAACCCGGAATCAGTCCATGTAAAACAGAGTTCCCAGATGTGAAAATCAAAAGACAAATCATAGACCACTACTTAAAAGATATATGCAACATAACACAACAGTATGGAATCTACTCCATAGAATTCACCTCACCAAACCATAATAATAGAAAATATACAATTCAAACAGACGATCTTGATTTAGAATTTTCAAAAGTTTTTTCAGAATATATAAAAAGCATCCAATATCATAACTCACAAAGAGCAAACTCCATATTCACCAATGAAGTTTTCGCAATAATATATAGTTATATATCGATATTAGAAAACGAAATCCCAATAACAAATGTCTCACCGACAGAAACATCTAAACATTTAAGAGTACGACATGAAATCACACTACTCTCTAGTTATTTAAACATCATTAAAGAAAATTTCACGAAAGACGACGTTTCACAACATACAAAACACGATCTACAAAAAATTTTGGCATGGTTCATAATAGATTATTTCACACACAATATTGATTTAATTGCACAAGCAAGAAAAAATTTTAGACCCCAAAACTCGAACGATGATACCGCTATCACAGAACAATCAGATTATGTTTGGGACCCCGAATGGTCTCATCCCGCATTTATAAGCTTCCCACAATCAATCTCAAGCCAAGCAATAAGTACGATATCTTACATAAGAGATTATGTAAAAGTAATACCATTAACCATTGATGCGACACCATTAAACTATAATACATTTTTACCCGATACACAAAATAATAGTTTAAACTCTACAGTTATACACAATGAAAACCTCAATGGAACTAGGAATCTTACTCAACAAGATATCCAGACACCATCACACTTCATAAATGAAGAAATTGTACACACAACAACTACACAACAAAGTATTTCACCAATACGCCCAAATTTAACAACACCAAGAAATACAAATCCTTCACAAACACAGGTAACCTTACAATCAACCGTTAAACCTTCGGTTGCCCCTAAATATTCACATATGGATTACCAAACATACAGACCCATGACAATACCAACAAAAACACGCAAAACATTCACTAGAAACAACTTTACAGACCATAATTATAATTATACACATCCATCAAAAACATATAATCAACCACAAAGAAATTTTAACCAATATACAAGATCTCGAAATTGGGATAACCCAATGACCCAGCCTAATTCAATAAATTTCCAAACAAATCCTCCACAGGATCACAGTGAAAATTACCCATTTTTTCAACAAAATAAAAATAAAAAACAGACATCTTATCAAATGGATTATTTATCCTCAGATGATGATTTCTTACAACCAGATATATTTGCACCAAATACTCAAGAATATCGTAGACAAGGAATACAGAGAACACGTACAAATCATAGAAATTTTTCTCCACAACCAATAGATGCACAACATCAACAACCAATTCAACAACAAAATCTAATTAATACACAATCTTTTCAACCAATTCAACAACAAAATCCAATGACTGCACACTCGTATCAAGCATCACAAATGCAAAATGAAATACCACTCCCATATTATCTCCAACAACATGAAATAACAAGAAACCAACTTTCAAATTTTTCTCAAATGCCAAATGCAGCAGAATCATTACAAATGACAATGAATCCATACCTTATGGGTGGATCATCAATAACATCAAACAAACCTTTAATGGTTTTCACAGGAACAGACCCTGAATACTCTGTAGAAGATTATTTAAATGCAGTAACAGCAAACCTGATTTTAAATATTGGACCTGAACCAATTAATACGCCACTACATCAAAATTGGATACATCGACGCACAGCGTTAATACAAACAACCTTAGATGGCGCAGCCCAAAAATGGTTTTCAGTACTACCTCTAGAAATAAAATCAAACTGGAAAAGGTTTACACAGGAATTTTCAAAAATGTTTGACTCCGAAAGAAACAAACAACAACAAAGAGTTTTATGTAATGAAATTCGCAGATTACCAAACGAAACCATCAAGCAAATAGCAGTACGAATCGAAACACTAGTTCGAAAAGCATATTCATTAAATACACATGACTATAAAAACACAAAGATGACAGAAATCTTAATGATGACCTTAACACCACAATTAAGGAAAATAGCAATAAAAAAGAGAGCATCCCATCCTTCTTCAATTCGAGAACCCGATTTAGATTTTCGAAAACTAGTAGACAAATTAGAACAAGCAGAAATCACGATGAAACTAGAAGAAACGGAAAATCTGAAATTACAATACGTTAACAGAATTGAAACGACTCCCACT